TCAAGGCCCAAGCATATACCATATACCTACATGGACCCTTTGGGAAACCTTAAACCCTAAAGCAAGCATGAGCTCGAGGGTTGAGGCTTTAGGGTTCCAATTTTATGAACTCACAATGCTTTGAGGCTGAGGCATACTCCTGCCTGAAGCGCTGGGAGAAGTTCTGGGTGCCCCTGTTGATGCTAAAAAAACTTTGGGGATTGTAGAACAGCCCCTTGCCAAGGGATTTTGTCCTGGCGCGCCGCGAAGAGCAACATGAGCGGTGTTCGCGTAAAAGACGATAAGAGGAAGAAAGAACGTTAGCAAAGACGATAAAGTCTAAACCTGGGAAAGCGACAAGAAAAAGATGCACCGAAGACAGCATTTCCGGTCAAGCAAAAAGGAAGTCGTTTACAACCCTTCATGACCTGAATATAATCAATTCTACACTTCCTAAGATGTTAGGTATTTAGGGTCATGCAGGATCTTTGGTATTCACCTTAAGGGTGCAAGTACCCAAATGACAGGCGTGCAAGGAAACCTCCAGGCAGGTAGTTCTCAGGCGGGTACCCTCAAAGGAGGCCTACACATGTCTTGCATTGCCTTATTACCCTTACGAGCGGCATATTTCCCACCTGGTAACTACCCACTTGGGTGTGTCTTTGATTTCAGGTGCCCAAAAAACCCTTAAGATCATCGTATTTAGGACAAAAACACCCACTAGTTAGGCCCCTCTTTGCTAAGTAATCTTCATAGCCTCTGTAAAGCTTCTCAAGCAAATAGCCCATTATGGCAGCAGCAGGCTGCCCTAGGCTATATCATACCGATAAAGCTCTTTGCAAAGCAGCCCATGACACTAGACCAGAAGCCGGAAACCCTATGCCCAAACCCTAAGCCCAGCCTCAAACCCCAACCCCAAACCCCAAACCTAAACCCCAAATGCTAAAGCCCAAACCCTAAACCCCAAACCCGAGAGCCTAAAACCTAGACGCCACACCCTAAACCCCAAACCCTAAACCCTAAACCTTCCAGGATTCTCCGGATGGCTACAAGCCGACAACGACAACTCCAGAGCCGGGACTACTTCAGGATGGCAACTTGCAGTTACATGGGTTTAGGGTTTAGAGTTTACCCTAAGGTCCAAGGACCCAAATAATTGGGCTTTAGGGATCAAATACCATAATGTTAATTGTATTTGGGCCCTAAAACCCTATTATTTGGGTCCTTGGACCCTTAGGGTTAGGGTTTAGTTTAGGGTTCAGGGTTAGGGTTTAGGGTGCATCCTAGGATGCCCAATAGGTTTCCGCAAAACTGGAGGGGGATTCCCCAAACTTGGGGTCCCTTTAAGAGAGTTAGTAGGGATTCTGTAGAGGTTAATTCTGGGGGTTACCTTGGGGCTTATTTAAGAGCTCAATGGGTTCAGGGTTTGGGGTTTAGAGTTTAAGGGTTCAGGGTTTAGAGTTTAAGGTTTCAGGGTTAAGGGTTTGGGGTTTTGGGTTTGGGTCCCTTTAAAGGGGTTATAGGGGAAAAACGGGGTGATATCGGGATTATATAGGGATCATAGAAAAGGGGATGGAAACTAGTCTTCAGGGTTCACGGTTATGGGCCATATAGGGCCAATAATGCAGAATACATGGAAAAGCATATGGAATATGAAATGGAAGGGCAAGCGCTATTTAATGTTGTAGGGCAGAATCTTAAGGCTCTGGGCCCTAAGCCCTACAGCTGAAACGGTTTTTGGGTCTTAGGGTTTAGGCTAAGGCGTGTCAGGACCTTGGGATTGTTTCGCGGTTTAGGGTTGTAATGGGTTAGGGTGTAGGGGTTCAGGGGTTTGGAACGTGGGGGCCTACATAACAAGAATAGTATTGGGGGTCTGCTGCGTCTACCTGTGTGTCACGATTATAATTTGGGAAAAATTTATGAGTGACTATGCAGGCTTCTACAGCTAGGTTTACGGCGTAGGCCCCGCGTCTCCCTCAGACCCCGCCCCAAACCCTATAAACCCAAAACCCAAAACCATCAAGCACATATAAACTTACCATTATTTAGGGTCCTCAAATTTCCTTAAGCTCAAAATTTTCAAATTTTAAATGCAAAATCCGCCCCCAAACCCTAAGTGATGGTAATAAGCCAGGCCCTACACCCTGAACCTTAAACCCTAAACCTTACACTCAGAATGTTGGGCTAAGAATATTGGCTGCTTGAGACATGCTAGCAGTGAGCGTCGATTGAATTTCTTCAAACTGTACCATAAATTGGAACTTCTACGCCTGGTGTAGTGTTCTTATAGATACCTGGAGGGATTACATAGGGGTAGAGGGCCTAAGAACTAATGGAGAATCACATAGAAAATGGAAAGTGCAAAGGAATCGGTGTTAAACGGTGGTTGTATGGTAGTTTCCCCAAATAAAGGGACCCGATCTAGACCCCAATAGACTATCATCCTTACCATAGGGACCCCCCCAAATAGGTAGCCTTAACTTTGGGAAGCCCGCATATATCTATATATATATATACTCTTTTTTTCATACAGATACCTCAGTTCCGTCTGAAGTTGTCCTCACGACTTTGGGCCCGGTCGGGCATAGAACGTAGCAGTAGAGCGCCCAATATTGGGGCTTGCCGGTATAGAACTTGAAATGTTCAAGTGAAAGTCCAGTGTTGAGGCTCTTTTTTAGATGGAGCTGTGCCACTGAGGCAAAGGCACGCAGACTCCAGAGGGCTGGAACCGGGACTGCTGGCCCTCAAACTGCGGTCCCGGTCGTGGGCCCTGGCAGGATCGTCATAGCAGCCCGCCCGCTGGCGTCCATAATCGGTACTATGAGTACGTCGTGATCCCGTATCACTTCGAGGAAAGGTTGAGAAACTCCTCTTGCATCTGAATGTCACTACGATGATAGCTTTGAGTTTGTCATGACACTCGTATTGTGGTGACTACTGATACTGTCTCACTGAGGCTCCCCTTCCTGCTGCTGCAGATGTTGCTGCTACTACGCCTTTCTCTGTCTGCTGCCGCTCGTGCTACACCTATTACCACTACTTATCTCACTCCTACTCCTACTAGTCCTAGTCCTTGTCCTAGTCCTCCTACTGCTACTGCTACTGCTACTGCTACTGCTACTAGCGCCATTATCTAAACATTGCCGCCATGGCCACCTGTTGTTAGTGGAACTTTATGTAATGCTCTGTGCTCATATCAACGCGTATGTCAAGGTACTACTGTATCGTTACCCAAGTATAGGGGCCCTCGAAAGCAGAACAGCCCACATCACGGCCAGACCGGAACGGACGATGCCCGCAAGCAAGCTTTCCGTGTGGCTGTCAAACGCTGGCACCGGCAAACTTGCATCGTCCTGGTGTCCGGGATCATGTGCAGAAAAGCTTTCACACTTTTCTTGGCCTCTACACCCTAAGTAGAAACAGATTCTACCTAAACCCCAAACCCTAAGACCTAAACCCCTAAACCCTAAACCCCAATATAGCTTCCTGGTGGGATCTTGGGCATTGAGGTGGAGAAGGCTGACCAAGCGGACATCACGCGCCCTTACATCTCTGTGGCCTTGTCCAAGGGTAGGCTTTAGGGGTTATTCTTGGGGCATCCTGTTAATCTTGGTGGGTGTCATAGTTGTCGCTGTCTGCGGAATGCCACGGTATTTCTGCAACAGCTCAGCATGTCCACCCTTTTAGGAGTTGGGCCAATCTCTTGAGCCAGGGCCATTGTCCTACATGTTTGCTTATCTTCTGTTATATGTGAAGACCAAATAAACCAAGCATATACAAATTGTCGAGTACAGGCACCAAATACGAAAACTTTTACTATAGGGACCACCAAAATGATAGCCCTAATTTTGGGAAGCCCCGCAAGCATGGTGCACATCACAGCATCAAAACAGAGATCGCTTTCCAAACATGCGCGAACATTATGAAGGAGTAGGACAGGCCCTGGAAAGACAAGTTCACAAGCCTGGGATTAGTGCAAGAGAATGTCTGTTCCGTGCACGAGAAGGGTTTAGGGTGTAGGGTTTAATGGGTGCAAGCATCCAAATAACAGGGTTTCAGGTAGTGAGTATTACTCGGATGATAGTTTTCAGGGTCTAAAACATCATCCCAGGGGGGGCGGTACTTAGACCTTAGACCTTTGCATCATATCTACCTTCCTAGCTATCCTCATCTATGCCCGTAACCCTTTTAAGACGCCGTGATGTGGGTACGTTAACCCGCGGAGATTGTCCTAAACCCCAAACCTTAAGCCTTAAAGAAGGTGGGCGAGTACGACAGCGGTTCCTGCTATCTGTCAGGGATGCTGGGTTGCCGTTGAGAAATCTATTTTAGGTTACCCGAATATGTATGATTCATGATGCGGTTTCCTTATAGTGGTAGCTTAATTTGAGCCCCTTAATCCCCATGTAACCACGACATAGCCCCAGTTTCCATTTCATAGTTCTTGTCTTTTTGATTCTTGTTTCTGGCGCCGGTACCCTATATCCTACAGATCCGAAGACTTCATTTATTCCTTCACGTACGCAACAACCCTAAACCTTAAGACCCTACACCCTTAGTTTAAGATCTTCAACCGCCACCCAGAATGGGTTGGCCCGGCTTCTGGGGGGGAAGCCCATCGCGCAGCAAAATCAACTTGGGCTGGTGCAAGGACCGTATTTGAGGTTTTGGCGGTTGAGGTTACCGTGTCAGTTTAGGATACCATAAAGAATAGGAACCCAAATGGCGCCTTGGGATCTGTAGGCTTCAGGGTAGTGGTGGTCATAGAGTTGGGGTTTTGGCGGTGACGGTGATGGTGGCGGTGGCGCTGGCGGCGGCGGTGCTGGGGGTCTTCTTACTAGTATTGGCGTTAGTCTTACATCTGCCGGTACCCGCAGTAGTTCTAGTTGTTTTTCTGGGTGTATGTATTTGTTGGTGCATCAGACTAGCATTTACCAGATTAGTGCTTGTATAAGTACCAGTAAACAGCGTGAATTGTTTGTGGACCCCTAAACCCTAAACCCAAAATACTCTTCCAGGACATGAGTGCGGTGGGAAGCATGGTCCATGAGATTGGTCATGCCATCGGCATGAACCACGAGCAAAAGCGTGCAGATGCCCAACAAGAGTCTTGATTGCTTTTGAGGAGCTTAAATTAAGTTACTATGCTGGGTATAGATGGTAATTAACAGTGTTTCCCAAATATAGTAACTTAGACTAAGTTCCTTAACAGCAACCCAGGTGTACAACGGACATGGGCCACACCTGATCATGTATCTGGGTTATTGTTGGAAAGCTTCAGGTCACAATGCTGTGAAGTCCTTATGCGTAATGATACGTTTTGACTTTTCAATGGTACCACTTGGCCCTGAAAGTCTGCTTTCTGCCCCCACCAAGTAACAGTTAGATCATGATTATGATTATAGCTATGTATTTTCTCCTGATAGTAGCCTGCTTGCAGACTGTTATTCTATGGGGGCAGTACCCTGTGAGCCCTAAAGTCCTAAAACCCTATGAACCCTGGGCCCTAAAGCCCTAAAGCCCTATAAACCCTAAAACCCTATGAGCCCTGAAGCCCTAAAGCGCTAAAACCCTAAAACCCTGTGATCCAGGCATTGGGATAATATCGATGCCAATTGGAAGTCGCAGTACCTTCCGGACACGAAGTCCTACATCGGATCCACCAACCAAGGTTTACTGGGGGTTAGTAGGGAATGAGAAATATTAAGGGAATATATTAAATAGGGACTGTGTAAGGATTACATTCCCGTATTCCCTGACCAGGAACCAGTAAGAAGTAGGCGGTGCAGGGTTCAGGGGTTATATTGTGTAGTTGCAACAAGTTTGATGGCCACGAGTTGAGGGCTTTGCAGGATGGATTTGTCCTGCAACCCCAAACCCTAAACCCTAAACCGCAACCCCTAAGCCCGAAACCCTAAACCCCAAACCCTAAACCCCAAACCCTAAACCCTGAACCCTGAACCCTAAGCCCTAAACCCTAAGCCCTAAACCCTAAACACTCTCTGCCTTGGAGCTTAGGAAGGTTGTGGATTTCTGAATTAGGCCTTTGCCAAGTGTTGCTACATAGATATATATATATATATCTAGAGATAGGTACCCACTAGGGTAATATTAAGGTCACATTGGGGTAATATTGAGGTTATATTGGGGTTCCATTAAGGTTATATTGGGGTAATATTAAGGTTATATTGGGGTTCTATTAAGGTTATATTGGGGTTACATTGGGATAATGGAACCCCTCCCCTCATCTGCAGGCGCTGATGATCCTTTCTCAGGCTATGCCCCCTACGATTACAGCAGCATCATGCACTACCCTTCCGGAGATGCGAAACTAGATTAGGTGCGAGTAACCCCCAAAGGGTCCATGTAGGTATATGGTATATACTTAGGGCCAAAACGGGTTCCCATATACCTACTTTAAGGCCCAAGTATATACCATATAGCTACATGGGCCCTTTGGGACCTTTTTGGTCGGATTTGATGCTTGGGGCCTGGGGCTTGTGATTGGAGATTCGAGGGCTTGCACATGCTAGATGCAGCCAAGAGTGTAGAGTTCTTTGCGCTTGCGAGTGCCACACGCGGAAGATTTCAAGGCACGCTGTAGGTTTCGAAGTCGGCGTCTTACGAAGCCTAACTTTAAACCCTACGCTGGCCCCACCCTGAAATAGCGCCTTCGGCCCAGGTATGACACTGACCCTCCAGCGAACGAGAACCTCATGGGCAACCGGAAGCACCTGACCTCCGGAGACATCGAGCAGATTCTGGATGTCTACCAGTGTGTCTAGGATTTGCATAAGTGAACCTGGGGGCTGTTTGCATAGTATGTAGTAATGAGGGCTAGGGTTCATGATCCTGTAGGATTTCTAGTATTCACCGTAGTGGCAATTCGCGTAAGACAACATCAGCCGTCACCAAAATAATGGTGACAACAACACAGCTTAAACCCCTAGGGAGTATACAAGGGGAGAGAGAGAGAGAGAGATGTATATATATATACATAAAGATATATTTAAGGTTTATATAGGGGTTATACAGGAGTATATAGGGGGAATTGAAAAGAACATGGAAACTACCATAGCACGTATAAAATATAACGCCTTTGCTTACTGTTGGGAATGCTATAGGAGCGCGGTTTTTGTTTTGCTGAGATGCTGAGAGTTGCAACAGAAGCATAATTTACAGAAGCATAAGCTTCTCAAACTTCTTAACCCGAAGCCAAAGCCCTACACCCAAAATCCATCGAAATCTACAGGTAAGGTGGACCCCGCATCCTGCAGTAGTCGTATAGTAGGAATATAAGTGGACCCTAATACAGTTACTATTATCCCTTATACTTGCTGTTACAGTGTGGGGGCTCACCTAATCCTAAACCCTAAACTTAGGGGTGCTTGGAAATCATTTTTACTTTTTGCTTACTATAATCCTAAGGAACAGCAAAAAATAAAATTTTTACTAGGGTTCCAAGTTCATCATAGTAAACCCTACAGGTGTCGAGCTGCCAACCTGGACGGCACCAGCGTCCTGTGACTTTGAGGATTTCTGCTATTGGACCAATCAAGGACTTGGGTTTAGGGTTAGTGGAGAACAAGAGAATACAATCCCTATGTAATCCCCACAAAATCCTTATATAAACCCTACATAACACAGTCCCTTCTACTGTAAGAGGAGAGATTGCGTGGACTGCACAGAGTCTGGGTCCTTTTGGAACGCTTTTGTCCCGTCTAAGTCGTGGTAAATGAGGGTTTAGGGGCTAGGGTTTAAGTTTAAGGTTGAGATGCCAATAAGAACTGCGTGTTCCTGAAATTAATCCCAAAGAAGAAGCACCGTGCCATTGCCAAATCTCCCAGGGGTCCTCAGAAACGACCCATGTCTGAGAAAGCCCTCAGATGTCCCAAAAACACGTATGGCTGTACGGCCCAGGAGTGGTCCCACTCCGAGCAGCAACACGGGACCAAATGCTGCTGCTTCCGGTGTCTGGTACACGTATGTTGAGGCCAGCGGTAGCAACAACCCAGCGAAAACGGCCATCTATGAGAGCCCGGCTCTTGACGCGTCGGCAAGCTACACCCTCACCTTCGCGTATCATATGCTAGGCTCTCGCATGGGATCTCTGAGTGTTGAGGTTGGCGATACCCATGGGAACTTTCTTCCCATGTGGCAGAAGACTGGTGATCAGGGAAACGCCTGGCACACGGCTTCCGTGAGCATCCATGCAGCCGTAGCCATCCGCTTCGTTGGAGTTACCGGCTCTGGCTGGAGCAGCGACATAGCGATTGACGACATTCAGATGGTCTCAAGCAGCCCCACCTTACCGCCAACGACAACCACCACGACAACAACGGCTGCGACAACCACCACTACTACCACTACAACCACCACTGCCACAACCTCCACCACCACCACCACCACCACCACCACGACCACGACCACGACCACGGCCACTACAACAACGCTTGGCTGTCACGATTCTTGGGTGCCTACTGATTGGACAGCCAGTAGCCCATCAGCGGCATGCGCTGCATGGGCCGAAGACTCCACATGGGGTGCTCTGGCGAATGGGAAGAGCTTTGCTGAGTCTTGTCAGGAAAGCTTTGCAATGACTTCGTGTGCCAAGACCTGCGGATGCGGAGCACCATGGCTTTTCTTTAGCAACCCCACCCCTAACCCCACCCGAGCCCCCCACCACCACCAAGAACAACACCTGCACCTACGCCTGTACCACACGTTTGTCTGTTGCTACCATGACTGCTCTTGCTGCTACTACGACCTGCTGCTGCTGCTGCTGCTACTACTGCTACTGCTATTACTACTACTACTACTACTACTACGACGACGACGACGACGATGACGACGACGACGACTGCTGCTACTACTACTACTACTACTACTACTTCGCCTACTTCGTCTAATTCTGCTCATTGACTAACACCATTAGTGAAGCGAAGCGACCGTATTATCAAGGAGCCATTTACAGCGCCTTCTGGATGCGACTTTGAAGGCGGTCTGTGCGGTTGGTCCTCCGCACAAATGTCGCAGATACTGAGCCAATGTGATATGGGTTTAGGCTTTTGCGGCTTAAGGTTTAGGGTTTAGGGCATTCCAAGAACCAGGTCAGGGACCTACTCTGGGAGTTCTTAGATTCAGGACGGTATTTCATTGGGTACATATTGGGGCCTCCACCTTAGGACGCCCCCGCATGCCGTTGGCTCGAAATTGAAGTGCTGGCAACAGTAAGGAAAGCCCAGGTCTTTTCCTCTTAATGTTCTTCTTTGTACAACAGTCTACACTGCCAAAAGTGGGTTAAGTAGGTGATTAGATGCGGGACAAACATGGGTACTGCTCTGCGGGGCGCCATAATATAGGGATTGTAATACTTGGGGTATAGTATACTGGGGTTGCCTCATTTTGGGAAACTACCACAGATCTAAGCTAAAGCCCTTGACGACAGCTGAGGATGTCATGGGAAAAGCATTCCAATGAGACGCCTAGCACCGGTACTGGCCCCAGCTATGCTCATGACGGCGCGCATTATTTGCACCTCGACTTGCACGACTGTCATGCTTATTTAGGCTTGCTTAGGATTAGCGAGGGCTGGGCTGAGAGTTCAAATGTCAATGCATGACCCCACAATTTGTTCTTGCAAATCCTCAGCTATGCTTGAATGGGGGTCCAGCAGCGGCGGGGGAAGTTTTTAAGTGCAATTTACGTCTGAAGAAAACTCGCTATCAGTTTGCCAGGGATGCTGCGCGGGGTTCATGCAGATCGGATTGGTACCTAAATCTCCGAAGCAGCGAAGGCACCTCGATCCCTGCGCCTGAAGCCTGAAGCTTGAATCCTGACTGTAAGACCTTAAACCTAACAATGGTCCCTAAACCCTAAACCCTAAAGTCAAAGAAACCCTAAACCCTAAGCCCTAAACCCTAAACCCTAAATCCCTAAACCCTAAATCCCGAAATCCCTAAAATCAAAGGTATGCGGAAGCCAGTGAGCCAGCTTTGCCGGGAGAGGTGTTTTTTTTTGTTTTAGGGTTTAGGGTTTAGGGCGTAGGGTTTAGGGTTTAGGGATTAGGGTTTAGGGTTTAGGGTGTAGGTCGCCTAGAGGGTCCAAGTATCCAAATATTAGGGATTTAGGTCCCAAACACCATTCAGATTATAGTATTTGGAGCCTGAAGCTCCATTATTTGGGTACTTGGACCCTTAGGGTAGGTGTTGGGATTTGGAGCTCAGGGGCTTTAGAGGCTTAGGGCTTGAGATTTATGGCCTAATGCTACGGGTTTGGCTCTGGGCGTAGGTCTAGTTAAGGCTTATAGTTTAGGGCTTAGAACTAGAGGTTCCAGGGCTCAGGGTGTAAGGCTTAACTAGGTTTGGGGGTGCAGGGGTCAGGATCTAGGGTAGTGCAGCCCCCTAGTCCCTGGATGCTATCAATCACCAAAGCCTACCTGGCCCGCATGTGGATAAATTTAGAAGTCATGTCCCGTTACTGGCAGTCTACATATGGTGCCCAGCAAGAGACCCCAGCTTCGCGCAAGCCTATATATATATATGTATATGTATACACATGGCATGCATATGGTAGTTTCCCTAAGTAGGGGGACCCTTAACAAGGTACCCCTAGTTTTGGGAAATTCCCCAACATGTCTTTGAGCGCTCATCGTACCCTGAACCCTAAACCTTAAACCCTAAACCCTGAATCCTTACCCCTTCGGAGTGAGAACTACCTGCCAGGTCTTCACTTTGCGGAGCCCACCTTTTGCTGGAGCAAATGTCACTTTCGATCTCAGCTTCTGGTGCGCGGGGCTGCCTTCCACGGGTCAGGTGAAAGTAGAGTTTGCGGTTTAGGGTTGGGAGTTTAGGGGTTGGCGTTTAGGGTCTGGAGTCTAGGGTTTAGGGTTTGGAGTCCAGCATGGTCCAGCTTGTTCTGTCTTCTCCTTGGAGGGGACCTCGTATGAGGCCCCGCTTGCGCGATGCAGGGGGGTGAACAGTGAGCAACATCCTCCCCGCAAAACCCGAAGTAGTTTTGTTTTACACATACTCCAAAACCTTAATTCTTCTAGCAGACAAAGAAGGTGGTATCGGCCCCTTTGGTTTGGAAATCACATCCGTGCTAGAAACATGAGGCGTGGGCCAATTATTCTGGCCCACCCTAAACCCCAAATCACGCAATCCCCTTGCTTTCCACAATCTAAAGTCTTCATGATTTACAACCCAACTCCCTACAGCTTTGTAGTAACTACCCCCTGATTAGATATAAGCTATGAAGCTGCAATTACTTGGAGTTACAAGTGGGGCTTAACGCTCAGAAGCATGAAGCAAGCCTGTTCAACTGGATGGCTCGGGAGGTACCACATGTATGGCCAGGGCATGGGTAGCCTTCATCTCAAAGGGCAAGATGCTGGACGCTGGGGCTAGGTTTATAGGGTTTCTAGGGTTTAGAGTCTAAAGATCCTGAAGCTACGGGGATCCTGAGCCCCCAGGATACATGGAAGTTCAAAGACATGATGGTAGTTTCCCAAAATAAGGGGACCCCAAGATAGACCCCAAAATATTATATTCCTTATTATAGGGACCCCCAAAAGGTACCCCTAATTTTGGGAAACCTCCTATGGGGGGGGGCCTTCTAGGGCATCTTCAGGGAGCCTTTAGAGAAATTCCTAAGAACCAGGACCCCATGCACGTAGCACCGAGCTCACAGACAACTTTGAAGAATCCTCAGAGACTAATCACGAAACCATCCGCAGCCAAGGTGATGTCTCTGCATATTTCCCTAAACACTAAACCCATATGTGTTGGTTGTCTACTTTTCAAGACCCAAAGGGTCCTAAGTACCCATATGGGGTATACTTACCCAAACCATAAGGGAAATTACTACTACAGAAACCATACTTTGTACCATATAGGTACTTTGGACCCTTTGGGAGAAAGAGGGCCCGTAATACACATATAGGAGCTTTTCAGAATGTCCCTAACAGACTTCTCATAGGTACCGCCATGATCCCAAGCCAGCCCATATATGCGCATTCATACGTGATATGGGTCACTCGGGTCCTCCCCATATACCCGTCTATGACACTAAAAAAAGCCTATATAGCCCTGCATCGCGCTCTATAAGTCTAGCTATCTCGCAAGGAAACCAGTGGGTTGAGATTTGGCATGTCAATGGCGACCTCGGTGACGTGTGGCTTGAAGCCGACATTCCGATCGCAGCTGGCTTTTCCTTCTTGCGTTTTGATGCAGCTGGGCTTAAGTAGTATGTGAAGTTAGCCTTGTGCTACGGTTTGGTGATTGTGTACAGGGTTCCTTAGGACATTGGTGAGTGCATGTATTTCGCATTTGGTCTCCAAGGTGTACAATCCAGGCCTAAATGTGTCCCAACATTGGTATTTTGACCTAAACTAGCTAATTGTTATGAAAGTCAGGGACTCTTAGGGGTAGAAACATCCTAAACCCTTATATCCCTATGTTTCCCTATATATCCCTATATATCTCTATACCAGCCCCTATATCCCCTGGTAGAAACATGCTAAACCCTAAGCCGGGGACTTTTTGTAGGTAAGGAGGTGCAAGCTTTTAGGGGCAGTGCCAAGAATGCACTTCGGCCATATCTTCTGCTTCAGGGTTTAGGATTTGGGGTTTAGGGTTTTAAGGTTTGGGGTTGAAAATCACAGTTTCTTAGACTCCTAATGACATACAGTCCCATGAAACGCGCTCCATAAGCCCGGGACGCACATTTGATGTTCCGTTATTTGTTCACTTTAGTTTCCATTATTTCAATCAGTTAGGCCCTTAAGCACTGAGGAAACCCTTTATACATATAAACATACACATATACATGTATACATGGCCACCCCCTATTCTCTACCTCCAGCTCTTTGTTCTGCATGAAAACATTGTGAGTACAGATGAACCTGCTGATTCTGACATCTAAGTTTGGACCTCTAAAAACACTAACGGACGTTTTGTTTCACAGATCAGGAATTCATGGTTCTGTATTCTTGACATAAACGCCTATATTATATCATCTATATATATATCTCTCTCTCTCTCTCTCTCTCTCTCGCTCGCTGTCTATAAGAACTGTACGAGCAAACCATGTTCTGTATATGTTTACTGAGTTTTACTAGGGCTCATAAGAACTGAAGCAACAGCAGAATCCAGAGATCTAGAAGTCCAGGATTTTGCTGTTAATTCTAATGAACAGTACTAAGAGATGAAGGCCGAAACCAGCCACTGAATCGGAAGACTCCAAAACTATCAAAATCCAATTCTTTTTTATACAGATCTTTGTTCCATTCAAGCTCATTCGATGTCTACCTAGGTTGCAAGGGATGTTATAAGCTTTCCATGAATTCGTAGATTCCTAATATTGACTTGCTTGCCATGACAGTATGTTGAGACTTGAGGTTCGTAGAAGAGACACTAGTGTCAGTAGTGCAAAACTATGTTTTCAGCAAGGGGTAATTTTCCAATGACAAGCCTTCCACACAGAGCTGTGTGTCTTCTGAAATTTCATGTTATAAGGCCTGATGAATTTAGTTGTCGTTCACGCTGATAGTTTAGGAAAGTTGTGTTTTGTTTAATTGGGTTCAAAAGGGGAGCTACCATTCTTGTAGGACTCTGTATGGATGTTTCTTACTTTGCTTATGTAATATGACTTGATGGACTCCTATTTCAATCAAGTTGTGCGTGACATGCATGGTCTGCCCCGGACTGGCGGAGCCCTAATTTGAATTTGGCGTGATTAAAAGTGTTTAATTTAAGTTCCTTAATCCCTATATTTCCCAGTTTCCATTTCATTTTC